GTCTTCGATCCATGATATCACTTGAAATGGGCCACAATAATACTTTCCTCTATCGAATGGAATTATTATTGGGCCTTCTTGTTTCTTCCACCAATGATTCTTTAAGGATGTAGTTATGGGCCTTGTGATGAGTCCACTATAGACCGTTATTGGATTCCATGTGTACTGGTTCTTATTATTCTCCCCTTCTTGAAAAGGATTCGTCCTTGAATCTAAATCTTCAATGAAAGACAAATTAGCAAGCTCACTATGTGTTTTATCACGCTCATGGAACTTTTTCTTGGGATGTAATGCAACCCAAACTACTGAAGATCCATTAAAAGTACCAGTTGGGCCAATCACAAGGTCTAAGTCCAAACAATTAAGACAACTCTTTATTGGTTATGTTCAAAAATGGTGGAAATCCAATTCAAGCCCAATTGCAAATGATGGCGAAGAACTCAAGGATTTTTATAATTGTTTAAGTGCTGATTTTGGTGATTAAATTAGGCCCAAATCAGCCCTATTATTTTTGGTCATCATTAATTTAAATTGTTTGGCATAAAAGAGAAAACACTAGTTGTATTTAGAAAGGATTCCTTAAATCCTTTTCTAAATAAAACTCTATTTACTTGTTTTCTAGATTAGGTTTAGGACTCTTTTTCCCATTGTATTTAGATTACAATGCTGCCCTATACCTATAAATAGGGCACATCAATATCAGTTTTGGGCAGACTTTAATTCAATAAAATTCTTAAGTTTTTCTTTACACTTGTGCAAGAAACCTTATAGCTAATTGTGGACTCAATTAGTGGTTAGTCGTGGACTCGACTAGCAAATTGATTCGTGGACTCGAATCAATCTTACTTTCTTCAACCTTAGATTTAGGTTCGTGGACTCGTTCTTGAATCGAAGGAAACTAGATCCGACTCTAGTTGATTGAAGATTGCATCATCGAGGTACTTGAAGCTACAATGGGATTCTTCCAAGTCTTTGAGGATTCGAGACAAAGGGTTTCTCGTGAGGTTTAAGGTATTTCGATCCATCTCTATCTTTACATTGAGAGCAACTCTTGGGACAATACTCATCTTATTTGAATCTTGGACTAGGTTCATATCAATTTGGTATTCAGAGCCTAGGTTTGTCTCATTATCATTGGAAATTTGGTTTCTTTGGTTCCCTAGGTTTATCTCGTTCTTATCTTACATACTACTTTTTTTTTTCGTGTCTTATTCATTAAAAAAAACCCCAAAAAATTTTCTTTTGCATTCTTGATTGTGTTCTTCAATCTTGATACATGTTCTCCAGTTTCTTGAAAAACAATCCCGAAAGTGTTTTCCCTTTTTCCCGTCCAATATCAACGAGACCTCACACCTCCTAAGCACCATATTACCACATATTCTGTCAAGAAAACAACCCCATCTCACTCTTACCTATATCAAAAGCGCATTTACGCGCAATCACGTCTCAATCACACCCTGTCCAGATTTCCGCGAGCTGTGACCAGTTTCAAAGAATTACCTATATCTCGAGATCCACTAGTTAGTTTTATCTGAAATTTGGATATGTTGTATATATCACACCCTGTTCTTTTGATATATTATACACTGTCTAATTCCTTCTGGTTAGTGAGATATTGATCTTCAAAGTCAGGGTATTGTTTCTGTTTTTCTAGGCGATTCTTGAAATTCTTGATTCTGTTTTGAAGGGGTTGTGTGGATCCTCTTGGTCCGAAAGTTTTGTTGATATTTACAGTAGTTATTTGGAGGTTACTTATCAAAAAAAAAAAGCAAAAAAAAAAAAAAAAAAAAAAAACGAGAAAGCAAAAGAAGAAGAAGAAGAAGAATAAGGTTGGGGAAAGAATAAGGTTGGTAGGAGAATCTTGGTGGGAAAAGGAAGGGGAAAAGTATAAGGTTGGAAGGAGTTCTTCATAGATTCCTATTTAGTTGTGGTATACTTGAACCCCTCTTACATTCTATTTGTCTCTATATGTTGATATTGGTTTTGCATATCTTTCTGCCATACTTCCTTCTTTGATTTCCTTTTTCTTTCAAATCTTATTTAGTTTCTTTGCTCGTATTGTCCTTTTTCTTTGCTTCTTGCTCTCAATTTTATTACCTATCTCGCGATACACCCTTATTCTCAAAGGCTTGTGAAGTCTTCCAAGGTACGTTTTCTTGAACTTTGAGGTTGAATCCATATCAACTTGAGTACCGGACTAGAATTTTCCTTTTTGGAAAAAGGCTGGTGAGAGTATCTGCCACCTTGAGTGATACACGAGTGGAGTGTGTGTTTGTAAGAGTTTGTAGTGCACCCCCAGAGCTATATAATCCACCTCTTACCTGCGAGCTGAGAATAGTGAGGGAGCGAGCCAACTTTTTGGTTTCACTAACGTGTCTACTCACACATCTTTTTGTTTAGAATTTTTTTTTCCTCTACAGATGGATGAACAAGTTCCAAACCCACCCCAGACATTGGAAGAAAAAAATAGATGCTCTAACCTTCGCCATGGACGGGTTAC